CATTGGCTGTATGGTTGATTTCTACCACTTCTCTTATCTTTCGCTTACTGGTACAGTCTTCATATCCAGCTAAGCGTTTGGTGTTAGACCAATCTATCTGGTGTCCTGTGCGACCCATGTGTTCGGTCAATTCCCATTTTTGGACCCACATACCCTTGAAGGTTGTTTTGTCTTCGGATAACCTCATATGTATAGGTCTACAGGTCTCTCTCACATGAACACAAAATCTTGTAACAGCCCGACCTGGATAGCGGATCACAGTATTCTCAAAAAGAAAGCAATACAGAGGACAATGTTAAATTCTGAAGGTATAAAGACCAAGATGATGTGGCCTTTTGTGTGGTCGCAGTCTTCTTTCGTTGTATAGAAGTTGTTTGACCTTGTTTTCGCAACTTGATCACATTAGTAGGAAGACTTAGAGGAACGCACATAGTCCGTAGTCCATTGTATGCGTGATCATTTCTAAAGTCGGACCGTGGACGTGGTACATTTCCAGATGTTTCACCGGCATCGTCATTGAGTCTCACCATTCGTAGCACCATATTACAACTCGTCAAAGAGACAAGTGAAGCCCGTCCTTTGACCAAGCGTGTGCTAAATAGTTGTGGTATCTCCCCTTCTGTCCTGGGCTATTCACATTTCCTATATCCTCCTATCATGCCTACCCTGTCACAATTTTTACCGTGCTCATTTTTAATGTTGTACTATGATGCTACGAATGGCAAGACTCACTGACGATGCCGGCGAAATATCTGTGAATGTACCACGTCCACGGTCCGACTTTGGAAATAATCATGCATATAATGGACTCCGAACAAAGTGCGTTCCTCTAAGTCTTCCTACCAATATGACCAAGTTGCGAAAACAAGGTCAAACAACTTCTAATGTTAATTTCTCTTAATAAATAGTCCTGATCTCCCACTGCCTCAGTAATTCGCCTATCTTCTTTGAAAGATTACACGATGGCAGCATAAGAATCCTGATAGAGTGATCTATCCATTTATCCTGCCCCAAATATGTATTTACCTTCATCTTATTTGACAATATTCTAGAATAATTGTTAACCAGCTCTCGTGGATCATTATTCTCAACCATAATTCTCCTTAGTCTCCTCAGTTTATAGTCCCGATATCTAATATTTGTCAGACGCGGGTTCATTATTATCATATACTTCATAACTCCTACTTTAACCCCATAATTGTAGTTGGAGAAGGAATTCAAATGGAAACCTGAATTTGTGGGTTTCCTATACACATCTCTACCTAATCTGGTCCTCTATTTGCTAACTAGGGCATCAAGGAAAGCTAAACCCTCTTCCTTTTCTAACTCGATGGTAAATTTCATCTTCCCATCCATTCTTCTCATCAAACTAAGAAAATTCTCCAAGAAACTAAATGATGATGACCAAATGGTGTTGGAGGCAGACAAAGGAGAAGCAGTGGTAGTTATGGCTAGGTTGAGCTATGTAGAAAAAATGATGCAGGCTTTGGATTACACTACCACATATAAGTTAATCAGTAGAGACCCTACGGAAATCCTAAAGTCTAGATTCATGGGTTGCCTGCAACATTGTGTAACAAACGGATAACTTGAGAAGTGGTAAATGAACACGCTTCTTCAGCGAGATGCTAGGCCTCCGAATGCATATGGTCTGCCCAAAATACATAAAATTAGAGTGCTACTTAGAATTATTGTGAATAATAAAAGAAGCGTGATGCATAAAGCATCGCAAAGTTCTGAGACGTGGAAGGTTTCGGTCAAGAATTCTTATGAATTCGTCAACTTAGTCGACGAGCAGAAGATAGAAAGTGGGGATTTGACAGAAAATTTTTGATGTTGGGTCTATGCACACTAACATTCCTGTAGATGATGCCATACAGGCTCTACAATCCACACTAGACCAATATGCTCAGATTATAATGAGCACGAAGTTAAGTAGAGGGTCAATAATGATACTGACCTAGAGATATACTGTACATATTTTACCTTTAATGGGATTCTTATGCTGCCATCGCATAATCTGTCAAAGAAGATAGGTGAATTACTGAGGTGGGAGATCAGGACTATTTATAAAGAGAAATTAACATTGTCCTCGGAATTGCCTTCTTTTCGAGAATAATCTGACCCGCTATCCAGGTCGGGCTGTTACAAGATTTTTTGTTCATGTGGGAGACCTGTAGACATAAACATAAGAGGTTATCCGAAGACAAAACAACCTTCAAGGGTGTGGGTCCAAAAATCGGAATTTACCGAACACATGGCTCGCACAGGACACCAGATAGATTGGTTTAATGCCAAACGCTTAGCTGGATATAAAGACTGTATCAGTAGGCGAAAGATTAAGGAGGAGGTAGAAATCAACAAATCAGCCAACACCCTGAATAGAAGGAATGAGATTAGGAAGTTAAGCGGAAACTACTTGAAGCTGTTGGATAGGTTTAGAGAGTGAGACGGGAATGAAAAGTACCACCGGGAAAAAGGAGAAAACTTGATCAGGCTGAAATGTGGTTTTGACTCTCACATCACATTCATTTCAAAAATAATGCACTCACACAACACGCGTGCAATGGAACGCAAGCACATGTGGTAACATTGCAGGATCAAGAGCATACGTGTTTTAGGGGAGCGGGCATCTGTCGGCAGCCACTTAACTTAACTTATGGCCAAATATAGAGGCAAAGCATACAACATCCAACCCATACATGAGCTGCATAAGTGGACCAAATTTGAATATAAGGAAGTAGGTTTGAAGCCGCCACCTTTCTTGCTTTCGTGTTCTTACTGAATTATCGTTAGCCATGGTGTCCTGCTCTGACGATGTCCGTCACATGACGGACGAAAACTCAGCAAGGATTAATTGGTGACGCAGGGTGGTGCGCCGGGGACCTATTCACAAAAATTTACAACCACAGCTCCAAGGCATTCCTCTCTAGCCTCCGGCGGTACAAACTTACGACTCCCTCCCACAAGACTCTTCAAACGAAATGATAGGTACTCCAGCATAAATCTATTAAGGGATTCTTCAAAACCCAGTTTTCTACAAGTCCATACTTGCCTGTCTGATGTCTATCCATGTCGGCTATAATAAGAAAAAATGTTACGGAGACTCAATCCGTCGTCAATTCGTCCGTCAATCCACTCGTTGATTGATCTCACCGGAAGTCAACTGCCGACTCCAGATATGCAACCGTTTCGCGAGCGAGAGCGAGAAAAACTTTTTCTAAAAGGAGTTGGATCCCTATATGAAGAGAGTTCAATTGACAAATCAGCATCCTACGGCAACTCCAAGTCCGAGTCTTCATTATGGTCACTTTTAGTTATTTTAACAAAGAAATGACAAAGAGTAGAATGAGCTTAGCAGGACCGGGCTGGCCGAGTAGAGCCGTTTCTTATGAAATGCCGGTCTAAGACGAGATTATCCTACATTCAGCCTAGGTGACAAATTTGTCATCTGATTTTTCGTATTTAACTAGTCTCGAGACTACCAGTAAATCAGTAATATGAGATATATTCACCCTATTTCGTTTAAGGTGATGAAGGACTGATCGTAGGATTTTCCCACGATGATATGAATAGAGCTGACGTTTCCATTGAATTTCACATAGCCTTGACTTCTCAAAACTTGTTTTCATCCACATGCTTCAGTGTCACAGTTCGACTCCCGCTGGGGTGTTGGTAAGTACTAGACGAGGTCGAAACTGCAGTCCACTCTGGATGAGAACAACTGTTGGGAGAGCAAGGCTGTGATATTCAATGGAAACGTAAACTCTACTCATATCATTGTGGGAAAATTCTACCACCAGTCCTTCATCATCTTAAACGAAATTGGGTGATTATATCTCATATTTTCATCTGATTGTCTGAAAAATTTCTGCATTTGATGCATCGAAAAATCTCAAGAAATTGCTTTTGACCTGCTGCCTACTCGGCAAAATAAGGTATTTCTACCTCAACCATTTTAATTTTATACCATTAACGAAGCTCCTGTATTACATGAAATTTGAAGAGCTGTGCAAGTCCTTACCCTATCCTTGATTGTCTCCGTTTTAGAAGACCTTGGCCGTACAACTCGACCGCAGATAACGTGCTTCGTATTGCGCTTTCCGCCAGGTACATTCCCAAGAGGATCACCTTACCGGCCTTCGGGTGGCATCGCCACATAGGCGAGCCAGTTTGCACTCTAAGAACTACAATGTCAGAAGAGTCTATGTTTGGCCGAAGAGGAGGTGCCTCATCCCGCAAGATTGAAGTAACGCACGTCTGGCACAGTTTTTCAGTCGCTTTGGCAGCAAAGCGTCGCAAGCTGGCTGGCCTGATTACTTTAGTGTTCTTCGGTTTATAAATGACCATCAAATCGCATTTTCCAACGTCTGCGTTGTGAAATCACAGTTTCAAGTGTTGATTATCTAGAGTATTCATGCCAAATGTCTAAAAAATGCCAGACAACCCTATAACTTCCAAAAATCAATTACTTATGTCTGCACTACCGAATGTGCAGCCCAATCATTAGACTAGCAACCCACTTTTAGATTTTAATTATTAACGACGAATGACATGAACCCTCTACAGCCCCAAAGTTCAGTTCATAGTCCAGAGTGAATTGTGTTTAAAGGCCAACACTTCATCACTAGCTATAACATGACAAAAGTGGAGGTTAGTAACTATAATAGGGTTACTGAGCACAGCCCCCCGACCTAGCAATAACAAATGCTTCAGTTTGGCGTAGGCTTTCGCACACTAGCAGTTACCAGAACCTTTTGCAATCAGAGGCTCGTGGGCTAGTTTAGCGCCGAAATGTGATCGAGTCTGCCTTCATATGGACATCAAAACTATCATTTCTATCAATATACTGTGACAGACTATTTGGACATCTCATACAATTGATTTATTGGTTGTCTCGAAACACCACCAATAAACGAAAAAGAAGGAATTCAATAGCTTGGTATAGCAGATACAACCTTGTTTAATCGACAATCTCACCAAAGAACGTGACATGGGAAACACCTGACCTTCCGTGGAATTCACATCTGCCCTATGGCCCAATGTCACTCGTGGCAATCTGGTGTAGTGGTTAATGTGTCGAGATTATACACTGCAGTAACATGGTTCGAGTCCCGCTGGAGGTGTTTATAAGACCTAGGCGAGGTCTAAACTTCATTCAAACATGGATGAGAACACCTCTTGGTAAATTCAGTGGAAACATCAGCTCTATTCACATCAATGTGGGGAAATTCAATTACCAGTCATTCATCACCTTAAATGAAATAAGGTGAATACACCTCGTTTGCTTGCACAGGGTGTATACTTTCACTAACAATATTCCACTGATGTCATAGTGAGAGGTCGTAGAAACAATCTACTGGGAACCATCCGCAACTGCTCGCACTTGACGTTAGTTCGATCATTGTCAACTGAATATCCAATCTGTGCTTCGCTCGCTGAACAAACATTTAGATTTTCAGCACGGAGAGGGGATTCATAAAAAAGATTCAATAGTCATTGGCAAGATCGGGCATGCTTCTCAGATTCAACTATTGACATGATGCAATCGCTTCGTGAAATTGAAGTACCTCGGAGCTTGCCCATTTGAGAAGGCAAGCGTGCAAACGCTCATACGGTCGACTCAAAGTGTCCAATTCTACTTGATGCAACAGTCGCAGATGCCTAGATGGAATGACAGTCTGGCCAAATGCGACAACTGACGGAAAGTAGGATTGAGTTGCATAAATATTCTGCCATAACTCGAAAGATCGAGTATATTCTGTTATTTTTAGGTAGGCTCGGAATCACACAATTGAAGGCTAATTAT